GTCTACGTTAAAATTATGAGCACAATATGTTGTATGAATGAGAGGAGATAAACCCAACTACATTCGCGCGCTCGCCTCGCTTTGGAAGACTTGGATTTTGGGCACAAACCTATGTCCAAAGATCTTGTCCAAAGATCTTCTTTTTGAGCAATGCTCAAATTTGATAGAAATGTTGACTTGAATAAGTAAAAGTTCATCTAGAGGCCTTGAATGAATGGAGCGTTCCGTGCGTTCCAAAGTGCGGGAAAGGTTTTTGTCACCATTCAACCAAACTAAAGCATTGTTATGTGTGTATTTTTTGCAATAAATATTAAAAGAAAAAAATAGAAAAATATTGGAAGTTCGGGACAAAGTGTTGGAACGCACATGAAGCAAATAAGGTGTGGTTGATGTATGAATAGGTGCGTTTCATTTTTTTTTAATTTTTTTCAAGTTTATAAAAATCTGCTTTTTATAAAGTAGTATTTGATCAAAAAAATATTTTGGTAATCCAAGGATAGTTAAAAAAATAGTTTAAATTTGATTACTATTATACCCGCTCTATATTTTGAATTGTCACCATTCAAAAATTATCCCGTCCCGCACTTACCGCAACACACCTCTTAAACCGCTCCTATCTGCACTGCATTTGAACCGTACCACACCTCTTAAACCGCTTGTCCCGCACCGTCCAAACCGCTGTCACCATTCGAAGCCTAGATTTGCGCCCAAGTTCCCTTCTCTTTCTAAAAAAATGTTTTTCTCGAAAATATATTGTAAACTAGTAGATAGTTTTTTTTTTGTTAAAAGGCAAATATCATTATAAATGAAAAGTAGATTTACAATTGTAAGATCTAAATCCTATACTACCCCGGCAAAAAAATAAAATCAAGGTAGTATAAGAGTTGTTTTGAAACCAAAAAGGTTGGGATCGAGCAACCCATTTATCGAAGCCAAAGCTCCAAAAAGTGACTGAATTTTTTTCTGCAGAGATGGAGGAGTTCCGAACCTCCCTTTCAATTCCTTTATATATAATGAAACCGACTAGTAGATAGTTTGTAGATTCTGCTTTCGAATGTTATGAATGGTTTCACCATGGTTATCTTATGGAATTCAAAAATCATATAATATTATTACTATTTGAGTTAAGAAAAAAAGATCGAATCGTCTCCACATTTATGTTTTCAAAACGTCTTTTACTTTCGCTTTTGCGTTTTCCATTAAATTTTCTCTGTTCTAATTGTTTTTACAAGTTTTTATATCGTAGTTTTGTAATCCAATTTTTACACCTCTCGCATTATGACACGTGTAGAGCTTTTAAGTAATTTTTCTGCATTTGATCGCCTTGTATCTTATCAATGGCTCAATTAAATAATAATACCACATGCAGCAACTACCCTCGGTCCCAGTTATTAAATAAAAAAATACATACCCCCATATAGACTATAAATACACACACAAACAGAACAGTTTCTTATTCAAGAACCAATCACAAATAACAAAAATGAAAATGAAGATTTGGTCACGACCAACTTTTCTTATAATAATTATCTATCTTATCGCAATTCCACGAGTCAACTCATCACCTCCGTCATTATCTGTGCCGGAACATTTCCTCCGCTGTCTCGACACTCAGCCGGCCGACCACGGCAGTCCCAACTCCCGAACCGCCGTGATCCCGACAAACTCATCTTTCTCCACAAATCTGATGAACGGCGTCCGAAACCTCCGGTTTGCTTCTGCCTCCACCAGAAAACCAGAGGCCATCGTCGCCGCCGTCACCGAAACCCATATCAGAGCCACACTCTCATGCTGCAAACTCCTAAACCTCGAGCTAAGAATCCGTAGCGGCGGCCACGACTACGAAGGCTTCTCATACACCTCTCCCGTACCGTTCGTAATCTTAGACATGTACAACTTCCACAAAATCGATATCAACATGACCGACGAGACCGTGTGGATCCAAGCCGGAGCTTCACTCGGTGAGCTTTACTACAACATTGCAAGCAAAAGCAAAGTCCACGCTTTTCCGGCCGGAGTTTGTCCTAAAGTCGGCACCGGAGGACATTTTAGCGGCGGAGGATTCGGAAATCTCATGAGGAAACACGGTTTATCTATTGATCATATAATCGACGCACAAATCATGGACGCTAATGGAAAAGTGTACCGTGACCGTCGTTCTATGGGAGAAGATGTGTTTTGGGCCATTCGCGGCGGAGGCGGTGGAAGCTACGGTGTGATTCTTGCGTGGAAGATAAAGCTCATTAGGATTCCGGAGAAAGTTACCGTTTTTAAACTGAAGAGGACGGTGAAAGAAGGTGCCGTAGATTTGGTATGGAAATGGCAACAAGTCGCACCGGTTATCGACAGAGATTTGTTTATCCGGTTAGAGATTAAACCCATAAACCAGAAAATATCAAAAGGTAAGACTATTAAAGTTTCCTTCATCGGAATGTTTCTTGGTTTACCGGAGAGACTTCTAAACATAACGAAACAGAGTTTCCCTGAGCTACATTTGACGAAATCCGATTGTATGGTGAAGAAATGGATTGAATCGACCGTTTTCTGGGCGAATTACCCAGAAAAGGGTCCGATTCAGATTCTTCTGAAAAGGGCATCAACGAATGAATACTATTGGAAACGTACTTCAGATTTCGTGCAAACTCCAATCTCAAAACAGGGGCTTGCGAAGATTTTCAAGACAATGATTGATCATTCGCCGCTTCCACGTCGAGTTTGGATGCAGTGGAATCCTTGGGGAGGTAAAATGGCTGATATTCCGTCTGATGCGACGCCGTTTGTTCATAGAGCAGGTAACATTTTCATGATTGAGCATTTCATGAATTGGTATAGACCTGGAGATGAGCTTGAGGAGCAATTCTTGGCCATCGCAAGAAGCTTTAAAGAAGCAATGACTCCGTTTGTTTCGAAGAATCCGAGAGAGGCTTTCTTTAACTACAGAGACCTTGATATTGGGATCACGACTCCTGGATATAATGCTACGTACCTAGGAGCTAAGGTTTATGGGGATAAGTATTTCAAAGGGAATTACTTGAGATTGGTTAAGGTTAAAGCCTGGTTCGACCGGACTAATTTTTTCCGGTCTCAACAAGGGATTCCGGTTCTTGCTTAGTTGATGAAATGAGTTGAGTGATCGATTTGATTGTATCGTGGGGATTAAAAGAAACTTGAAATTTTCGAGATGAATCATTTGAATAAGAGATTCATCGGATGTGTTTCTTTGTTGTTGGGCATGTACGGTTAATAAGTTTATGTTTAATAGTGGTTTATTTCAATTTCTAAAAGACAAGTCATTGACGTAATTTTAATACGTGGAATCATTAGTAGGGTTATTATGCAAATCTCTATTGGTGAGTTCAACGATATGCACAAACTTTTTAGCCAATTGGTCTAAATTTAAAATTCCAATTTAAAAATCAAATATGGCAAAACGTTTTTCTAAAACACAATATTATGGTTTTTAAAAATTTACTGGTAAACGATTTATATTTTAGCTAGGTTGTAGGGAATGGAAAACGGATACGCAAAGCAAAACATTTTCTTTAAAATGTATGAAATGAGACATTTTGAAAATGCACACACAAATAAACAACATCAAAACTATATTTAAAATAAAATTGGAACAACACAAGTTTTACACATAATATGAAGTAACTTAACAAAAAAATAAAGATCATACAACGTTCAAAGTTAATTATTTAGACAATCATCTTCATGCTCATTTTCATCAGTTCTATTAAAAAAAATAGTCTCCAAACCTGGCTAGTTGAGGGAAAGATTTTAAAACTCTAATCTCCAAAAATTAGTATCATCTAATGAATCAAATAGATTACCTTCGAAATCCGACATTTGATAGGAACCATATTTGTAAGCTAAACCTTTTTACATAGAAGATAGAGATTAGTGTGCAAAAATACCAAATCTTCCACTCTTCGTTGGAGTTATCTTGTATCTTGTTGTAGAATGTAGTATAAAATTCTCAATACTCCAATTTATTTCACAATATTAGGGTTTCATAATTTTGTTTTTTTTTGTTTTTAAGTTACTAAACCTACATTTCAAATTTTTTTACTTATAATTTTTTTTTTAAAATTTATGTCGCGTTTCTAAAACGAAACCAAACGTTTCCATCATGTTTCCAAATTTAAATTTTTAGGAAATGTGTTTCTATAATGTTTCTTTGTATTCCAAGAGCATGTTCCTAAAACGTTTTCAAAATGAAAAACCGATTTTAGACGGAGTTTCCATGCAACCTAGTGTTTTAGGTTTGGTAGATAGTTTTTGTATAATAAAATTTGGCGAAAAAACATGATGACATTTCCGTGAAAAAAGTGGTGTATATTATCCAGCATGTTAAAAAAAAATATAATGTAAAATATCGGGTTGATAGAACTTTTTTTTTTTTTTTGGCTAAAAATTAACTTTGAATTGTTACAGCGGATGAGGTGGATTACTACTTGCAGACTACTCTACTTGTGAATAAAACCGATTTTTATGTATCATTCATAAATTTGGGTCCGCAATGGTACATACTAGAAGAAAACAAAACCGCTACAGATCAAATACTGCTAAACATGAAAACATAAATTTGGTATGTTACAAATTGGTGTTCGTCGAAAAAATAAAATACGGTCTAATATGCAGTCGTATTAGTTCGCCCTATCCATTACAACCATTCAAATTTTGTGTTTATAATGGTTGTTTTAAATTCTCAGAGAATCAATTATTTTGATCTGCCCCTGACATGTAATATATAATTTCTTTTAATTGGAAAAGACCTAATATTTTTGCCTTTATCTATATGAACAAATTCATATTGGTCCACTGCAAAAGGTGTTTTAACTTTTAAGAAATCTTGGCGTAGAGTCACAGTGGAACACATGATAGGATTCAAATACTGACAACTTGAAACAAGACCTGGGTCCAAATTACGAGTTATGATATCTAAATGGAAGATCTAATATTACGAGTTATGATATATAATTACGAGTTTGCGGATCATATTAAACAGTTGTAAATTATGACATCTTGTAATGCGGCCTAGATTTGACAACTTGTAATGGGGCCTAGATTTCATTAAACAGTTGTAAATTATGATATCGACTGCTCCAAACTGGTTCAAATTAACTTGTCCGACTTTGTGATATGGTTAGTTACAGGTTCAACATTATACACGTGGGATTTTTTCTTTGAGATTTCCACCACAACTTAGAGATAGCTCGATTCATATCAAATTATAATTCAAATAATCTAGTGAGACTTTCTATTTCAATGGACAATTTAGTCACCACGTACAACTAATATGACTAAACTTATCTCACGGTGGAGATATATTATAATACTAGATAAAGGATCCGCATATATGTGGGTTTATGAAAAATATTTTATATTCCGTAAAAGAAAAAATTTGAAAAAATAAAAAACAAAACTAAATCACCCGTGAAAAAAAAATGTTGATACTAAATGTATTTAACGGTTACTTTTTTATCTTGATTTTTTTCTTATTTGATTTTCAAGTAAATTTGATCACGTCATTTCAAAATAATTAGATATTTTCTATTTATGTTTAAAGTAATTTCGTTTTTACTACTTCGCTACTCTATTTTTAAACAATCTTGTTGAATTAATTTGTCATGTTCCTATTCAAATTTTTCAAATTTATAAATATTTTATAACATGTGAAAAGAACAAAACACGAATAGTGCAAAACCACTGATGGAAAAGTCTCATCGTTATTAAATTGTTTTGACTCTTTTTATTATATTATTCTGTTTTCAATTAAATTTGTCACATATTTCCAAATAATTAGTTTTTTTTCTATTCCTAATTGAATTAGATTTATTTTTATGTATCTACTCGTATATCTATTTTTCTAACATCTTGAAAAATTGAGTCTTATATTTTTAGTTGCAAACAAAAAATTGCAACTTTTAATAAATTTCATTCAGATAATTAATTCTCAAATTTTGCAAGAAGTGAATGGTGGACAAAACCTTGAACAGTATTTTACTGCGTAATTAGACATTGATCAAGTA